AAAACATGCAGACACATTGACGTTAGAGAGACAAGCTGGTAGACAGATAGAATGCAGAGTCAAGCAAGATGCTAGAGCGATAAACGTTGATGTATAGAATGGAAGATAGACAGTTGCCACAGGTAAACAGTGAGGGAATACATAGGCAGCATCAAGTGCCGCAAACATGAGGTTGAGCTTATCTGATTAAGGCGGGGGGAGGGAGGGGAGAAGCACCTCCCACCATGGTTTTCGGGTAGCCTAGACAGTTTGGATGGTGCTAAATGCAGTTCCAGGCTAAATGATCTATAGACAGTCTCAGTTCTTGTACTGTATCTTCCAGTGTCTAAAAGAAACTCATATCATTTCAAAACCATCACTGTTTGTGCATGTGTGTGTGTGTGTGTGTGTGTGTGTGTGTGTGTGTGTGTGTGTGTGTGTGTGTGTGGCTATTCGGTAATACTATTAATGTAAACTATTGTACACTCAAACAAGACTTAAACCCACCCAGGCCCTCAATCCCTAAACAGGTATAAGGGGAACGCGAAACCCCCCCCCCCCCCCCAACCCCCACAACCCCAATTTGATTTATTTGTGGTGGTACCTTTGATAGACAGAATGCTAGAGACATACTGGTGGTTTGAAAATAAAGGGGGTGGGGGTAACAGATAGGCAGGATATTTTAAATTTAAAGTGAGGGTACTAAGTATAAATGATATTATTGATATATATATATATATATATATATATATATATATATATATATATATATATATATATATATATATATATATATATATATATATATACAGAGAAAAACATATAGACAGGGCATTACACATCTACAGTGAGTGGAGAGAGGGCCGCGTTAGCGCAGTCGATAAGAAGCTCGGGCTCTCCTTTGAATAACGGTCTGAAATGATCTACGCAGAAAGTTAACCCAAAACAGAGCCTCACTCATATCAAAAATTCGCTTTTCTCTTGCGGCGAATCAACCGTGTCAAAAGTAGGAATACTTGCGCACGACATTTTTGCGAAACGCAACGGATTTTTTTTTTAACGGCGATTAAACGGCGGCAAAACTAGGATTAACTACGGACGAAAAAAATTAGCGACACGCGAGAATAATCCCGATAGTGCTATCCCACGACAGGGCCCGAGTTATATGTAAATTGCGGACCGCTTTTCGCCGACTATAGTGCCACCTTCAAGAGTATCCCCGTGCCGCTACGCGCGGCGCGAAAGGGGCTAAACTAGATGACTAGGACTCACGAGCAGCAGCTACCGCAGCTCCTGCAGCTTCCTCCAATGTATTTGCCCGTGAGTCTCCGCCATCTAGTTTAGCCCCTTCCGCCGCGCGGCGCGGCGTGGGGATACTCTCAAAGGTGGCACTATAGTAGCTGGAAAAACAGTCTACAGTTTACAGGAGCTACTTCTTCTGTCAGAAGTACCAGTGTGCTCGCATTTGCCATTGTCAAGTGGTGGTCAGGATAGTGGAGCGCCATCGTGGCGGCTGCTGGTTTGAAGTTGTCCTGAGGCGACATGCGCGTAATTAAACCGCGCATTTACGTCATGTCTCGTCCGGAACGAGAATCGCGGACAAGCCGTGCATAGTTACAATGGCGGACATCGAGAGAGATCAGATATTCGCGCACTATTTGCAACTTCTGTGCTATAATTTTCACATATAAAAGATTTAATTTTCGGTAAGTAGTAGACTTTGTCCCTTTTCCTTACACTTTTCGTTCCTAATGTTTTCCGAGTTACACCTTTTAAATGTTTGTGGGGCAGGACGTAGTGAGGCTATGTTTGGGTTTACTTTCTGCGTAGATCATTTGGGACCGTTATTCAAAGAAGAGCCGAAGCTCGTTTTCAAATTCAGGAGGAACGTCGTTGTAGCTACAGAGTTACGTGCGAACGGCGACATAGGCGGACAATTCTTATCAGCTGTCCGTACTGGTGGCAGAGCACCTATGGTTTATAACCGTGTGCAATGGCGCCGGTTCACATCTCCCGACTTTACCTTTTTACAGTGAGTGGAACATATAGAAATGATATTAGACATAAGGTGAGGTTTACAGCTCTACGGGATACTACAGACATACAGTGAGGACATAATGTTAAAGATATACAAGAGACGATAGATATACAGTGCTATATAAATGTGCTAGCGAGCCGTAAAAACTATAGCAGATAAGCTGAATGAATCATAATAAAACTTCACTTCCCTAAACGGTTAAAAATAAACAATGCATTCAAAACAGCAGTAGCGGACAGAATCAATTAAATCAAACAGCTTGCCGGGGTCCCATTGTGGGGGGGAACTGAATAGATCAACTGCCTCCCAAACAAGCATGTCGTAGGAGTCGATTTATTAGGAGCTTCCTTCGAAGTTGGAGTGTATTTAACCGAGCATCAAGGAACAACCGACTGTACACAAATAAACCAGTTAAACGGATGTACACACAACTCAGGCTCTGGCACAATGCCAAAGTCGACATGGTCGAACAACCAGGACTTTTCACTGAAGCGCACAGCAGGTCAACAAAGAAGAAACAAACATCTCCAATCTGGAATCCAAGGAAATAATACTGGCCGTTAAAACATATTTGCTGTCTAACTTGTCACGCACTGTGTCAGTGATTTCAGGTTTTAGGGAGAAAAGAATATTTGCTGTCTAACTTGTCACGCACTGTGCCAGTCACTTCGGGTGTTGGAGAGAAAAGAATATTTGCTGTCTAACTTGTCACGTACTGTGCCAGTCACTTCGGGTGTTGGGGAGAAAAGAATATTTGCTGTCTAACTTGTCACGCACTGTGCCAGTCACTTTGGGTGTTGGGGAGAAAAGAATATTTGCTGTCTAACACGTCACGCACTGTGCCAGTCAGTTCGGGTGTTGGGGAGAAAAGAAAATTTGCTGTCAAAATTGTCACGCACTGTGCCAGTGGATCATAAAAACTTCTTGATTTGCAAGGCAGACAGGACGCCTAGCTTGGCTGGCAGGTCGTCTGGGGTGTGGAGAAGGGGCGTGGGTTCCGACAGCAGTCCGAGCATTGCTATTCTGATCCGGCAAGTTTTACATAAGCTTTATTTGGAAAGTTTTGGTGTTATGATTTCTCTGGAATAAACAAGGCAGGGCGCGAGAGGCATCATGCTGCCAGGCAAATTGGTCTCTTCAGTACTCCCCAGGCTGTCTGCTACCGAAGGGAAGATCTTCGTCGACGGCCTTAACTGTCTGTAACACCATGCCTCTCTATTACATTGTCGTCTAGAAGGACGTTCAGATGATTAAAGAGCATGCGCAGGCTTGTGGACAGTTGCAGAATGCCATCTACTTCTACTACAATGCACTACTTATCTTCCGATTGTTACTGGGGCATTTGCAAGAAACAAACAATACAAATGTGTCTGAGTCTCTCTGATTTCTGTCTCCTCATCTCTGTATTGTATCACAGTCTCTCTTTCTCCCTCCACTACGCTTTTATCTCTCCTCACTGGGTCTCTCTCTCCTCTCTCTCTCTCTCTCTCTCTCTCTCAGTCTCTAAATGCATGTTTCATTCCTCTCTTTTAGTTCTGTTGTTGCGGCGCTACTTCTCTCTCTCTCTCTCTCTCTCTCTCTCTCTCTCTCTCTCTCTCTCTCTCTCTCTGATACTTTCTTCCTCCATCTTCTCTCTTTCTCTCTCTCTCTCTCTCGCTCTCTACGGCCCCAGCTACCTACCATGTACCCTTATTTCTGTGGTAAGAACCCACGAAGGGTTGGTGAGATATTAGTTATATCAGTCGTGAAAACGTCTAAAGCCTGACAAATGTGAGTTGGCTGGGGTGGGAGCATTCATCCCTCCAAGGAGGTAACAGGTTGCAGCAAAAACATAAGAAACAAGAGGAGGAGGAGGAGGACAAGAAGAAGAAGAAGAAGAAGAAGAAGAAGAAGAAGAAGAAGAAGAAGAAGAAGAAGAAGAAGAAGAAGAAGAAGAAGAAGAAGAAGAAGAAGAAGAAGAAGAAGAAGAAGAAAAAGAAGAAGAAGAAGAAGAAGAAGAAGAAGAAGAAGAAAAAAGAAGAAGAAGAAGAAGAAGAAGAAGAAGAAGAAGAAGAAGAAGAAGAAGAAGAAAAAGAAGAAAAAGAAGAAGAAAGAAGAAAGAAGAAGAAGAAGAAGAGAAAGAAGAAGAAAAAAAGAAGAAGGAGAAGAAGAAGAAGAAGAAAACGGAGAAAAATAAATATGAAGAAGGGGGAGGAGGAGGAGAGGGAGATACCTTTATTCGTAATTCAGTCTTTAGAATATCTGCACAAGTCAGCCTAAACATACATTTGTCAGGGACATCCTTAATCGGCAATATGCATTACACAAAGCAGGACAAGTTTTTCAAACTTGTCGAATTCACTTATCTGCAATGTAATGAAACAACAACAAACATATAACACAGTAGTGATACACAGCCAATCCTTGATTGTGCAACATGTGACATCGCAAACACGAATGAATACCTCCTAGATTGTGCAAAATGTGACATCGCAAACACGAATGAATACCTCCTAGATTGTGCAACATGTGACATCGCAAACACGAATGAATACCTCCTTGATTGTGCAACATGTGACATCGCAAACACGAATGAATACCTCCTAGATTGTACAACATGTGACATCGCAAACACGAATGAATACCTAACACCCACATATCATGCACTCATTCACGCACGTGAATACTAATTAAAAAAATGAATTGCCGTCTCCACATCAAAGATTGGCTACAGTGTCCTACTGCTGTCACTGGAGACATTACACCGTGAGGCCCCACTCTCTTTTCACGTACCAGTCTCGTAACTTTGTCCGAACACCACATAACAGCATTTTACATAAACTGTTCATCACCCAAATTGAAACTTAACACTCGAGCACGGTTGAAATTATGAAACGCATTCACTTACCTCTAAGCCACAAAGCATATCGAGACGAAAATAATTACAAAAGCAACAATCGATGAAACAAACATAATTTGACAAGTTAAAGATTAAACAATGAATTTACCTGGGCTCGTCTGTGTTTTCTGTTTTTTCCTCAGTCTTCTCATCTTTCACAACATTCCTTCTCCTAACGGATATTCTGCGACTAACGCCCCACAAATTAGTCGGCTTCTTCAGCTTACATCCACCAGTTCGGCCTCCAGCTCCTTCTCCACCAGCCGCCCCACTTCCAACACTACTAGTGCTGCCTTTGCTACTGGCTGAAAACGTGATGTTTCGTGTCCCCAAATGCAAGTCATCCTTACAGATAAACGTCTCCGCCCGGCTGCTTATCTCCACAAGAGTGTTCGACACGGATCTCGTGCAGAAAACTGAATCGTCGATAGCCTCCATGTTTAGAATGATAGGACGTGTTCCGGGGCTGAAGTCTCGTGTTGCTCGTTTGCGACGCTCCCAGATACTCATGCTATCCGTATGCCTCTGATGAAGATTGTCGCACGACTTTGCTCTAGCCATGAAGTTTTCATCCGGCTCTTCCAAAATGGAACCAACACATGTTGTGCCGATACTGTCCAGAAACCTCTCCAAATTGCTCTGGTCGTTAGTGATGTTGAACGTCGGGATTATCGAAGGTCTTCGCTCTGTAGAACTATCCGGGTAGCTCGGGGAAGCGGTAAATGCTCTTATGCTCCCAAACATTTCCGCACTTGTAGCCTCGCCTCGAGGAGGATCTGATGTCTCGTAATCGTCTATATCCGAGTTATCCGTGAAACGACACTCGTGTTTCCTTCCCTTGATAGCGACGCTGTCCTTGTTAGGTGAAGGTTGCTCTGCTGCTTTGTTTCGTGATGAAGACTTGGACGAACCAAATCGCCAGGATCGCGGCCGTCTGTCTCCACGAAAATGAGATTTTGTTTTATCACCGGCCGTTTCCCGTTGAGGGATATTAGTCACCAGATGCCCACCTGTAGAATCCAACCGTTCTTCCGTCTCAGACAGACTTTCAAGACTTTCTCCACGAGAAATACCCGCAGCTTCTGAAGCGTGCAGCGGCAATGAGACGTCACGTTCGGCTTCTTCACCTGTTGAACTGTCCACTTCCAAACTTTTATTCCCCGAAGAACGAGACTTTGGTGACCGCTTCTCCTCCTCCTTCTTGTCAGACTGTTTCTTACCCCGAAGTAAATTAACAGTCTCCCACTTACACAACCGTTTCCCTGACGCAACCAATGACGACTCGGCGCGAGAAGCTCTGCGGGGCTCGGCCTTCACCAGAGGAAATGCCTTAGAATCGTCAGAGAGTCCTTTCCTCAGCACGATACCTCGAAGTCCCGTTTCAGAATCTCGTCTGCGCATGCCCTCATCCCACGACCCCCTAGCTTCCTGCTCAGGTTTTGAAAGGTCACGAGGCACATTAGATCGTTTGACCCACTTCCTGATTTTGCCAAAGTTCGGGACAGTTCTACCTCGGCGGGTGGTATCCTGCGGTTTGTCCTTGTCCTCCTCCTTCTCCTTGGCTAGGATAGGCTGAATACTGTACCTTCGATCCATCCCTGGGCCACTCTAGACATACACAAATAAACGCTTGTACCTGACGCAACCAAGTAAACAGGTGTACAAAACGATGACGTATGTGCCAGAGGCGTGACCCGTAATTTACAGCAAGGATCGACACAACTCGTCTAATTTCAAAGCCACTGTAGGAGATATCCCTATAACACAGTGTTCTTCAAACATCTATAATCCGCGGACCCGTACCCACGGCCAGGGGTCATTAAAGAAATGTCGGCCCAGTCATGTGTTAGCTACAGTAAACACTGGTCAGACCCAAAAAAAAAAATCAACACATTTTTGAAGAGATTTTCAGAGATATTCTTCCACAGAGCAATGAAGACGTCTGGAAAGAAACTAACTCACGAAGAGAACTGATTGCCCACATCAGAAAGAGACAATCTACATTCTTTGCTCATGTGATGAGAAGGAGAAAACTCGGGTACATGGTGACGGTAGGAAAGCTGGAAGGAAAGAGAGACCGAGAGAACAGATGCTGGACGGTGTGGACATCATGGCATGGAAGATCATCTGTGTCACAGTTGACTCAAAGTACACGATGCAGAAGGTTGAGGATAGATATGACTACCAACGCCACACGGCATGGAAGATCATCTGTGTCACAGTTGACTCAAAGTACACGATGCAGAAGGTTGAGGATAGATATGACTACCAACGCCACACGGCATGGAAGATCATTTGTGTCACAGTTGACTCAAAGTACACGATGCAGAAGGTTGAGGATAGATATGACTACCAACGCCACACGGCATGGACTTTAGGAAGAATTTCCCATGCCATTTATTCCGGGCGCCAAGCATCGATTATTTTTTTTTTTAGCCTTCAGGCGGCTAAAAAGGGATTAAGCTTTGAATTTTTGCTTGATTTTTTTAACGATACGATACGACAGCCTATAGCACTGACTGACTGACTTTCTACCCCACTATGACATCACACAAGCGATAAACACTCGAAGACACAAAGTGCCACGATGTGGATGAGGATCGCCGTGGAGAGGTCCCAGAAACCGCGTTCAGACAATTGGCCATATTTATGGTCTGCCTATATTGCGGCCCCTAGAAAAAGCCAGGGTGGGGCTTCAAATAACAAAAAATTTCGTCCTAAAAAGGACGAGGCACTATAAGTCTATAGCAAAAAGCTCCGAGATTTAGATAGGACGGGAACGGAGCGAGTGGCAAGCCCTGTGAATATGGACTTCACAACGTAGGGGCTTCAGGAACTTTGTGCTCCCCGCATGGGGTTGAGGGGTGGGGGGCAAGAGGGGGCCCCTAACCACTGAAATATTTGCAAGAGGGCTAATATATATTATATTTTAAAGTTTCTACAAATAAATGTCATAATATTTCAAATATATCGTTATTTTTATATGCCATTTAATGCCTGATATTATTACACCCTTAAAGAAAGCTTGAGTTTCTTGAGTCCATTCCCTAAAATTATAAGGGAGCTGAGCGGACCCCTCCCCCTGCCCCTAAACCCCCAAAGATTTCTTAGTTGCAGCGCGTCTGTCATTGAGTTATAAATAAGAGGTATAATTAAAACACGGAACGCCATCTTGGCACATCAAACAAAAAGCCTGGAACAGATAGTCCTTTCTCTAACTCTTAAGGTCTCAGTAGAACATCGGAAAGGGGAAGAATGAAGAGTTCAATTAGTAGGAGCTTTAGTACTTTATTTTTAATACACCCTAAACAATGGAAATTCTGAATCTCCAAAAAAAGTTCAGTACTCTAGAGGTGTTATGGGTTGGGGTTAGGATTAGGATCCTAGAGACATTGACTAACCCTAACTCTAATCCTAATCCCAACCCATAATATCACTAGAATACTGAACTTTACTAGTGCTGCCGGGAAAGTGCAAATATTCTAGAGATGTTATGGGTTAGAGTTAGATTTAGGATTAGAGTTAGAGTTGGATTTAGGATTAGAGTTAGAGTTGGATTTAGGATTAGAGTTGGAGTATGATTTAGGATTAGAGTTAGAGTTGGATTTAGGATTAGAGTTAGAGTTGGATTTAGGATTAGAGTTGGAGTATGATTTAGGATTAGAGTTAGAGTTAGAGTTAGATTTAGGATTAGAGTTAGAGTTAGATTTAGGATTAGAGTTAGAGTTAGATTTAGGATTATAGTTAGAGTTAGATTTAGGATTAGAGTTAGAGTTGGATTTAGGATTAGAGTTAGAGTTAGTGTTAATCAGTGTGTCCGAGTCTGTCGGGGCTGACAAAGATCCTAACTCTGACTCAAACTCTAACTCTAACAACAACCCATAACATCCCTAGTATATTCGACTTTCCCGGAAACTCAGGGATGTGCTTTGTTTAGGTGGAATTAAAAATAAAGTACCCTAGGTTTTCTTTCCCGCAGCCCTCCTGTAAGAAACCCATAGAAGACGCCGCTGCTGGCGGGCTCATAACGGGCAACACCGGAGTCACGAGAATGTGTTGCCAACACCACATAACAGGTACGCCTACCTTTCTGGTGAGAAATCAGAGACAACACTATAATAACTAGGTACCCCAGATTTACAGGTGAGAAACCAAAGACAATACGTAGGAACCAGGTACGCCAACCTTTCAGGTGAGAAACCCAAGAATCTGCCACTCGAGAAAACACGTGTGTTCAGACCAGCAGTGGCATAACCTAACCTTCCGTGACCCTGGGCATTGATGGCACATTATTCGTTGGTGCAATTCAACAAGAAAAACGTAAGAAGTAACAAAAAAACTATGGAGATTTCTTATCCACTGGAAGACTGGAGTGTAACTCCTTAATGACATTTATGTGAGATGTGTCTTGAAAAGACCAGCGTTAATGAGTTTAAGGAGGTTTAAACCTCATAATGTACAGCTATGTTTATGGATCTTACGGTCCACGGATAAACCCGAAACGGTCAGCGGATATTCCCGCCCAATCATGTAGGGGGTAAAATGGGAAGGATTCAAAGGAGTGAGAAATGAGAAAAATGTCAGGGCGATCACTGGCAAAATCAAGCTGTAAGCAAAAGAACAAGGCGCTATACTGGACAGATCCTGAGGGGAAACGATCAGGGAATCACTAAACAGGCACTAAAATGAGAAATAAGGGAAGCGAGGTGGTCCAAACCAAAACCTAAAACGAACGTTGAAGAAAAGGGACATAGGGAAAGGGATGGATTCTATTCATGATATCGAAAGGATTGCACACGATAGAATGGAATAGAGGAATAGACGGTTAGCACTATGTGACAGATAATGGCACAACAGGACAACGTATGGATGAGACAATGAATGAATGAATGAATGAATGAATGAATGAATGGATGAATGAATGAATGAATGTAGGGGTTAATGAAACAACGTTCCAGCCATGTGTAAAACATTTTCTAACCTTTAAGGTTTGAAATTTAAAACATTAGTTTGCCTACATAAAATGCTATTCGTTTTCGTTTCTAGCTTAACGGTCAGTCGGTCAGCGACTTATTTCTTCTATTTCCTCGGTCCGCACTTCTTAACAAGTTAAAACACACTATACAGGATGCTGCAAATTCCCCCAGCCAATTTGGGATTCTGTAGTTTGCCACAGGCTTTCGAAAACATTATGAAAACAGCGAACAACCACAGATCCCGGTAAATCCACTCACAGTCGAAATATGATATATTTGACACGCTCACAAAAACACAATTTACAAACAAAAACTCCGAGTTCGGAAAATGTGAAAAACTGCAAGAGGGACAAAAGCTGAAAGTGAAATTCCTGTTCGTTTGTCACAAACGGTCAAATGTTTCCACAGATGCTTCGAAATGGTGGCTTTTTAGAGAACTGAACTATCGAGAAAACCTGAACAGAACTGTCTGGGGGGGAAAAAAAATCAGTCATTGCTGAGATATCCTATCTGGGCTACAATTTGCTAGTTGTTTCAGGGTTGGGACACGCTGAGGGTTGGTAAATATTTAATAAGATGTCACATTTTGCTTCTGATTCGTGTACGGGGTGTTTTTGTCAGCTGCTTGTCGACGAGGCCCCGTCGATATAATTACTGGTTTGCGTTTATCCGAACTGTTATCTATGCGATGTGCGATAGAAAATCTGTTGAGTGAGAGTGTTTGTGGTGGAGTGGCTAGAACGTTAGTGTGCTGGTATGGATTTCCCAGGTTTAAATCTTTAAAAAGTATATGTTTAAACAATCGCGCCGCTCTACGGAAACAACCAGAAGGAAAATATCACGTGATACCCTCTCATGTGCAATCGATGTCTGCTAAGACTCAACTTGTGTCTAAAACCATTTACACATGCGAATTAATCAAGCCTCATCGATAGGTTTGATCCATGATTTATAGATAAACTGGCACTCGATGGATAATGTAAACACACTGGCTACTTTACTTCCCTTAACACTTTCTAGGATCCAGTTTTAGGTCAGAGTACTGAAAATCAAGGCTAGTATAAAAATAGAAGGATAACGGCTTGGACCTCTGCCAGTTGAATCTACCATACGACTAGCCTGTCATTGGTGAACCTCATGCCTAAAATTTAGTTACTAGCACTAACGATATTCTGCACCTCTGCTCATGTAGCCTGGAAAGAACAGTGATCGAGGCTACAGCTTCCTCCAGATTGGAAAGAACCGTGATCGAGGCTACAGCGCTAGTCCATCCTCGTGGAAATGTCCCTGCACAATAAAAACACAACTGCTCATGGAAAGAAAACAGCATCCTCTCGTGATCGAGGCTAAAGATGAGGTATTTTGGTCATGTTAAACGTCAACTGTAGCCTGGAAAGAACCGTGATCGAGGCTACAGCTTCCAGTAAACGTCAACTGTAGCCTGGAAAGAACCGTGATCGAGGCTACAGCTTCCAGTAAACGTCAACTGTAGCCTGGAAAGAACCGTGATCGAGGCTACAGCTTCCAGTAAACGTCAACTGTAGCCTGGAAAGAACCGTGATCGAGGCTACAGCTTCCAGAAAACGTCAACTGTAGCCTGGAAAGAACCGTGATCGAGGC